CTGGAGTGGTACCTATTTATCTACTTGCACTGGTGTGCTTTCGAACTGCTAGGTTGGCAGGAGCAGGGACCGAGGAACGGGAGCTCACCCCATCACGGGGATTTGTACCGCCAATCTTCTGATTGGCAAGTCCTAGGCTCTGTGGTTTAACCCACAGTGCCACCTGCGTCCCTATGCATACATACAGTACACTTGTTTTTGCAATATTTGTATGACATTGTTGGCATAAGAATGCCAGCCCATATCCCACACCATCCCTCTAATCCAGATCTACCTTTGCTGGGGAAGCCCCCAGAGATCCACAGAACCATTTGTGATTTCTCAATGGCCTTTTGCAGATGGGCAAGCCACTCTTTCAAATGCATTTTGCCTGCAGAGCTTCTAAATAATCTGAGTGTCTCTCAACAGTGCTGCATGCCTCATAAAGTAGGGAAGTCACAGAAGGTATTTTGCTGGGCCTGAAGATTTTGACTCTAGCTGGGATTTAGCATTGTATGTTTGTGCTGGCCCTTCACCCTAGAGGTTGAAATCCACTCATTCCTGCCTTAGGGCCCGTGGCATAAGTATGCATGTAGGCTTTTTTGAGTGCTCATATTTATTCTCCAAAGAGCTTCAAGTTTCACAGGAAACTTCTTTAAACACATACTTGGCTATTTAAATCCGTGTTATTATTTTAATCGTGGAAATCAAAGGCAATGTAGCATTTAACTTTTGGTCCTGATCACCTGCAGTGTCCGAGGAACGTGCTAGGTTAACCGTTCGTTTTTTATTCCTTTGGTTTGAGAAAACAAACGGCTCAAACAATCCTATTGGCTTGCGGGTGAACCAAGATTGAGAACTCTGTGTGTATATATATATATCTGTAGGGTTTATTGGACCTTTTATCTCTGTAAAAATAAATCTGCCCGAGCTGGAACATTATGTAGGATGAGCCAAGACAGAACCAAACAAGAGATCTAGCTTGGCTCTGTGAATGCTGGAATAAGCCAAGCTTATTAAACCAGGCTACATGCCCTTGTGGAACAAAGGAGTGCGAAGGGAACTAGGAGGGAGGTACACTTGTTTTAATAGTTTCTCAGGCTGTTTACATGGAGCCCCTTTCAGACCAGACCCAGCTGATCTGGGCCAAAGCTCACTGAATGCTCACACAGGGCTTTCGCAGTGTGTTGACTGCTTGTTTCTAAGGGTCAGAGGCTGAACCAGGTTCATTCTAGTTCGGCCAAGAAGAAACAGAATCACCTCTGAGACGAGCTGCTTAGGACACTATGGAAGGACACAACATATAGAGCAGCCTCCCTGCACTGCTGTTCATAGTCCAAAAAAGGAAGTTTTGTATTTCTATTTTGCCACAACTTTCTCCCCTTGTTATGTGCAGAAGTTCTGCTTTCAGTGGTAAAGGAAAGAGGGGACAGGAAGCACTAGAACTTTGCTTTTTCTTTCTGGTGTCATAGCGACTGCAGGAGGACAGCTTCTTCCATGCAGCCTGGGTGACATCAGAACCATGTGGGAGACATCTATAATGTGGTTTGTTCCCATGTCAGCATTATTTATTTATTTTATTTATTTATTTGTACCTCGCCCATCTGGCTGAGTTTCCCCAGCCACTCTGAGCGGTTTCCAACAGAATATTAAAATACAATAGTCTATTAAAAGCTTCCCTAAACAGGGCTGCCTTCAGATGTCTTCTAAAAGTCTGGTAGTTGTTTTTCTCTTTGACATCTGATGGGAGGGCGTTCCACAGGGCGGGCGCCACTACCGAGAAGGCCCTCTGCCTGGTTCCCTGTAGCTTTGCTTCTCGCAGTGAGGGAACCACCAGAAGGCCCTCGGCGCTGGACTGCAGTGTCCGGGCAGAACAATGGGGGTGGAGACGCTCCTTCAGGTCTACTGGGCTGAGGCCGTTTAGGGCTTTCAAGGTCAGCACCGACACTTTGAATTGTGCTCGGAAACTTACTGGGAGCTAATGTAGGTCTTTCAGGACCGGTGTTATGTGGTCTCAGCAGCTGCTCCCAGTCACCAGTCTAGCTGCCACATTCTGGATTAGTTGCAGTTTCTGGGTCACCTTCAAAGGTAGCCCCACGTAGAGCGCATTGCAGTAGTCCAAGCAGGAGATAACCAGAGCATGCACCACTCTGGCGAGACAGTCTGCGGCCAGGTAGGGTCTCAGCCTGCGTACCAGATGGAGCTGGTAAACAGCTGCCCTGGACACAGAATTGACCTGCGCCTCCATGGACAGCTGTGAGTCCAAAATAACTCACAGGCTGTGCACCTGCTCCTTCGGGGCACAGTTACCCCATTCAGGACCAGGGAGTCCCACACACCTGCCCACTTCCTGTCCCCTAAAAACAATACTTCTGTCTTGTCAGGATTCAACCTCAATCTGTTAGCCGCCATCCATCCTTTTCCTTCAGAAGCTGTGGAGTCTTTCCACATGGTGCACTGCCATTACCCCACATGCTATAGTGACTCTTCAACTGAATCAGACCCCCTGTGACAAAAACGAGATAAAGGAATTGGAGGAAGCAATGTTTGGGATCAGGCAAGCTGCTAATACTGGAAGAAACTGTTACATGCCAGGAGATAACTGAAGAGTGGTTTTAATATAACCCATAAGGAAATAGTGAGTTTATTCTAAAAAAAATGTAGCTATTCTGTTAGGCGATGGATACACAAGGATATTATTTACAACTGCAAGTGAAGAAGAAAAGAGTAAGTGGTTTAAACTGATTTATGGCTAAACTGCCAAGAGCAATTTTAAACTATGGAAAATGTGAAAGATTGAATTAATCACCAAAGGAGTGAGTAGCTCTTCTTAAGCTGCCTTCTTAAATTTTCTTACTTTACAGGAAGTCTTAAATATTCTTACTTTACAAAATAATAATAAAAAATCTTCCAGTAGCACCTTACAGACCAACTAAGTTTCTTATTGGTAAGAGCTTTCGTGTGCATGCACACTTCTTCAGATACACTGAAACAGAAGTCACCATAATTTTTTAAATTTTTTTTTATTTGTTTCGACTACGGCAGACCAACACGGCTACCTACCTATATCTTACTTTACAGTAAGTCTCATTGGACCCAGTGTGACTTCCTTCTTAGCAGATATGCATAGGGTCAGGCTTTAAGAGTTCTTTTGAAGGTTTTGAGAGTGTTTGCCATCAAATTTTGTGTTGGGTGACAAAATAGGATACATCCACAATCTCTCTAGAAACAGCCTCTACGATAATGGGTGTGTTTGACTAAATGCAATGGTCATTGAAGTAGCTCTGGGAGAAGGGGGGATTCAAAGCTACTGAAAGTTGGATAAACCTTTTATCTTGAATGCTACAGAAAATGATTGCCTCTGCTAAGATATCTAGCCAAATATATGATTGGTCTTTAGTAACATTAACAGCTAAACTGGGTTTTTTTTATTGCTTAGCACAAATTAGAGATACTACGCTTGCACCCAAAACTTGTCTGAAACCTCCCCTGAGAGGTCAACAAGGGGTATTTAATAAATAAATAAATAACTCATGATAAGCGGGGTGGGGGGGGGAATCTGAAGAGTTGCTGATTCTGTGGATTGTAAAATCTCTGCTTGCATTAGCCAGGTTGAAGTAATACAAATATACAGAGCATTTTTCTGGCTCACGTTGCTTCACTGACTGATTTAGGTCATTTTGGAAAGAAACGCTAGCAAAGAATGCTTAAATAAACAAACACTTGAATCAAGCAATTTTCTTGATTCCTCCCCACCCCCCCTTCTCCCTTTTCAAAGGAGAAAGAACAGTTGGCTAGGTCTGCATATGTGCATAAAGTCAGAAGAAATGTTGAACAACAGGCAGTTTTTTGTGAGAGGAGAAAATATATTTCATACACTAAAACACATGGCGCTTTGTCCTCTTCAACTTGCCCCTCAATAACACATAGTTGAAGAATCTCTAGTAATAATGTCATGAGCTACTTCAATTGATGTGTTTGCTTCTGGATGGAGAGACACAATCTTTTCTACTTCTTCAGGACAGTCCCAAAGAGGGATTCATACCCAATGGTTGCCTCTGCAAAACAGATTTTGCAAATTTTCGCGTTAAACCAAGAAAACTTGTCTAACCGATGTCACTAGTGCAATGAAAGGAGTGTGTGTGTCTTTGTGCAGTGCCCACTTTCAACTCCCTTAAAACTGCCGTCTGATTTCTGCCTATGACCACGTTATATATAGACTCGGTTGAGTTCCCCCTGTTGAGAATACAAAACCACTTCCAAACTTGAGAGGGGGTGGAGTTGCGGGCTTCATGCCCTCTCTACGTGCGCAGGGGCTGGCTCTCGGCCTCCGTGCAATTGAGGGGATCCCTGGCCTGGTCATCCCCTGGCCAGCCAATCGGCAGGCCTGGGGGGGCGTGGCTTGCGCGGCCAGGTATCTCCCTCTTTTGCCGCCTCAGCTCATCGGGTTTCCCACCCTCCCGCCCTTTAGGTTTTCCTTTTGACCTTGCTATGGACCTCGGTTGGTCGCCATTAAGGGGCCTGGTAGGAATTTTTTCCACTTGGCAAATTGGCACCAGCCACTTGGTTTTTCACCTACCTCGTAGCAAATCATCACAACTTCCTCGGCATTGGCGGTTAAGCATTGATAGGGGTATTGTCATGTAGATGAAGGGGGGAGGAAGCGCCATCACCTCCCTGGAATATCGAAGGGTAGTCCGGTAAAGGATTCCGGGGAATGTGCCCCTGTCCGAAGCCTATGGAGGTGAGGGCCTAAGGCACGCCCCCGAGCAGTGACCCCGGGGGAGTTCCTAGTTGATGTGTATCAAGCAATCGGGCTGAAGCCGGATAGTCAGTTAAGACCAATGCCTAAGCCAATACCGCTCATTCCTGTAACCAATAAAGTTGTGGCCATTTTTGGCTCATTAACCTAAATATTTGTGTCATGTGTCTTTATTTCCACCAGGGGGAGGCGGGAACTCGCCACGCAATTATTAGCCCATTTGCAAGTGACCACCTGCCCTTCTTCTCTTTCTCCTTAGGACTGCCCTCCAGAAGCAGGTGATTTTCGTACCCAGCAATGTTCGGCGCACAACGACGTCAAGTACCAGGGGCAGTTTTACGAATGGCTCCCTGTATCGAATGATCCTGACAACCCATGCTCCTTAAAGTGCCAGGCCAAAGGGACAAGCTTTGTTGTGGAATTGGCTCCTAAAGTGCTGGATGGGACCCGATGCTACACTGAATCGCTAGATATGTGCATTAGCGGCTTGTGCCAAGTAAGGACAATACTTTTTTTTTCTTTCTGATTTTCACACACCCCACACATCCTTTTTCTGTGTCTTTTGTCTTTTTGCGTGTCTCGTGTTTTAATCTCTCCCCTCTCCTCTGTGGTGCTTGCTCCTAAAGTCTTCTTTAAAGTGTGCGTTCATTTTCAGAGTCACTTACATATTTGCTTCTGAAATGCATTTTATCAACAGTAAGGTCCCCCTCCCCCAGTTTCTTTTAAGTTTGTGCCAGCTCTTCCTGTTGAAACAGCCTGTAAAGGTAACCCTTTCAAGGCAGTCCTTTCAGGTTTTTCATTCCCATTCCCTTTTAATTTTTAATTCCTTTTTATTAGAGATTTTATTGTGTTACAAAACAAACCAACGGTGAAAAGCTCATATAGCATCTCCATTTTTTGTTTAGAGTCTTTTTCACAATTTGTTTATGTTTTGTATGAGGCACTCTCATTCTAGATATCATGCCGCTCATGGGGGAAGATAGGAGAAAGATGGAAAGGTGACATTCTTTCGTTGTGTTGCATAGCGTTTGTATAGACTATTGGGTCAGCATTATGTGAGCGGGCCTTTTATTCATACCTTTATTAAATGTTTATTGGCATTGCGAGAGATTAGAGGGTCCGGTGCCTGGTTGGTTGAGTTCAGTTGGTTGCATTGTGGTTCCTTGTTTGTTTGTTTGTTTGTGTGTGTGTGAGAGAGTGGGGGGCTGTTGAATTCCCATTTCCGAACATGTAGGTAATTTATCAATTTAGAGATACTGCTATTCAAAATACTTAGTTGTGTACCCAACTACAGTCGTACCTTGGTTTTCAAACAGCTTAGTTCTCAAATGTTTTGGCTCCTGAATGCCGCAAACCCAGAAGTGACTGTTCTGGTTTGCAAACTATTTCTGGAAACCGAAATCTGATGGGGCTTCCGATTGGCTGCAGGAGCTTCCTGCAGGCAATTGGAAGCCACACTTTGGTATCCAAATGTTTTGGAAATTGAAAGGACTTCCGGAATGGATTCCATTCAACTTCCAAGGTATGACTGTACAGTCTACTGAGAATAGACCCATTGAAATGAGTGGAGCTAAGTTAGCCATGTCTATGTCCTACACTTGAGTAGGACCCTGGTAGAGACACATGCCTGACTGACATGTTCTCTCCCTCCTGGCCGTTCGTTCAGGAGCTTCAAAAGCTTTCTTCAGCCCAAACATCACAGCGACCGATGCCAACAGACATCGACATACAAAGGGATCCGCAGAGTCTTCGCAGCTTGCTAAACAGACCTCAGCTACTCAGCATTTTGGCTAATCTACTTTATTTACATATAAACACACACGGAGCACTGCAACATGGCTCCCTCTCTCTCTAGCATCAGACAGCAAAGAGAAAAAGGACAAAGGACAATAGTCCCACTTCACTGAACACAGTAACACAAACATCCTGTCTCCGTCACTTTCCACTCTGTGGAGTCAAAACATACACCATCATGTGAAAGACAACATTCCCATGACTGCAATCATGGAGCAGGAATTCTAAGTCTATTCACTTCAGCAGGTCTACTCTGAGGACAACTAACATTGGATACAACCTTTTCTTTCCGTAATGAACAATGCACTCATTCCAGCTCCATTCAGTTCAATGGTCATGCCCTTGATATCAGTGTTCTGTGTTATGGATTAGACACAACAGGCAAAGTCTGAAAGACTGAAACGTATTCTATGGTCTCAATCAGTCCAATGTGCACATGGAGCTACAAAAAAGCTGGGGCTTCCAATACGGTGGTACCTCGGGTTACAGACCCTTCAGGTTACAGATGCTTCAGGTTACAGACTCTGCTAACCCAGAAATAGTACCTCAGGTCAAGAACTTTGCTTCAGGATGAGAACAGAAATCGCGTGGCGGCAGCAGGAGGCCCCATTAGCTAAAGTGGTACCTCAGGTTAAGAACAGTTTCGGGTTAAGAACGGAGCTCCAGAACGAATTAAGTTCTTAACCTGAGGTACCACTGTATTCTTGTCAGTATTAGCAACAGCTATGTGTTTCTCCAGAATGGAAAGGCCCTGCGATTGTTAGGATTTGTATGTCTGTTAGAGTTTCATAATATTAGAGCGACTGACTGCCCCTCAGTGGGGAAGTCTTAACAGAGCCCCCATCTTGCGTGAGCTGAAGATGGGGTGTGGGCTCCGTTAGACATCTCAATTGAGGGTTGCAGGTTCATCTATAATAATAATACTAATAAATAATAATAATAATAATAATAATAATAATAATAATAATAATAATAATTTATTTATACCCCGCCCAACAGAACACTAAAATACAATAACCTATTAAACATTAAAAGCTTCCCTAAACAGGGCTGCCTTCAGATGTCTTCTATTAATTTCAAAATGCTGAAAGCTTTTCTGTGCCACCAGGCTTGTGTCACAGTTATCCAGTGATTTGTGGGTTTGTTGTATAGAACAATTCCATTAAAGAAGGGAGAATGCAGGCCTGCTGCCACTTTACTGATTAGCCCCGATACTTGATTTTTAAAAATACAACACAAACCTTCCTGTCCTCTTCAACACCTCCATCACCCCCATGAAAATGGGCAGCCATTTCTAACTCAGCATTGGCTAATGGCAGCATAGCCAATCTGAGTACAAGTAACGCAGTTCAACATTAGCAACGTCAGTTTCAAAAATGTTATTTGCATGCATAATGCTTGTGAGCTCTCAGAGACATCCAGCTGTCCACTGTTGGGAAAAAACAAAGCTGAACTGGAACCAGCCATTGTCTGACCCAACAAGACAATACGTAAGTTCTTATGTGTTTAAATAATACATGCATTTAACACATTATATGTTTATAATGATACATAATAAAATTACTTCATCTAAACCTCTGGCTCCTAAAGCTTTGGGGTCAAATATGAATCCAGACTGACTCACTGAATTAAAACAAAAACAAAAAAAAGGATGCAAGCATTTCTGAACTTTACTGTCGTTCCAAATCCAAGTTTCACAGCTCTCCCCATCCATAATCCCATATAATTCCTGACATTTTATTAGCATTTGAACTGAATTTCCTTTCTGTGTCTTATGGTTGTTTTTCCCCTAGCGCTCTTTCTCTTCAGTGTTGCGTTCTGACCTGGCCCACGTCTTTATTGTTGAGGGAGATGTTTAAGCTAAATGGAATGTGATATAAAGCACATAGTTTCACTTATCTCAGCTCTGTAATTAACTGAAACAGGGACATGTCTCTTTATTTCATCAGAGGACACAATGGTCTTTCTGAGAAGTGAGCTTAGTCAAGTCAGAAGACCTTGCTGTTGGCTGTTTCTCAATTTATTAATAAGCGACTCCAGGGGACAATGTGTTTAATTTTCCCCACCCCCTCGCTAGTTGGCTAAAGTGCTTGAGCTCAGGACAAGATGTGGATTTGGAGCATTCTTGAGTCAACTAACAATCTGTTTGCCAGATCGTATTGGACTAAGGCTGGATTGTGTTTTAAGGTCCAAGTTCAGGACACACCTATGTGAGAAAGCCTTCCAGTGCTAATAGATAACATCCACCATTGAAGCATGTGTTCCTTGTTTTCACACACTTGGAAATAGGGAGAAATGGAGCACAGCACTGACAATTATATTGTTATTTAATATTCTTCTTGTTCTTGTATGTTAAAACCCAACACTGCCCCCTAGCTCAGTGTTTCCCAACCGGTGTTCCGCGGCACACTAGTGTGCCGCGAGACGTTGCCTGGTGTGCCGCGAGATGTTGCCTGGAGGGAGGCGGGCGAGTCGGGCGGCGAGAGGCGGGGCGGTGGCGGCGAGGAGAGGCCGCCCAGCGCGGGGCTCTCGCCGTCTGCCTGCCTGGCTGCCTGCGTGGCGCTGACGTCACGGGGCTGTAACGTGCCCCACATAGGCACACGCGGGGCGGCGAGCGAGCTCCCTCCCACATCCCATCGCCGCTCGCTTCGGCCAGCCTACTGGGCTGTCGCAGGCGGAAGGCCTGCGCATGCGTGAGGTTTTCGCGCCTTCGGGATTCCCTTCACGCCTTCCTCCTCCCGGGTCCTTGAGAGCGCGGGAAGCGGCAGCGCGAGACCGGCGTTGAGCCTGGTAGGTATTGCGCTTGCCAAGGCAGTCATTTGGGAAATGAAAACTTGCAAAGCAAGCAACCAGTTCAATCTGAAGTACGTGTATGCTTAATATCCTGTATCTGAAACCTGTTCTGCCCCCTCCCCCACACTTGGTGCCATTTTCATCTACACATGCAGCAGAGTAAGTTGACCCAGAATAGTACCAATTCAGATGGCAGATGGGAGAATGACAGTGCTGAATGCTTTCCCATGTAGAACAGTCCCTGCAAATAAAAACCTAGCATATTTGGAAGAGGGATGCTAGCCTAACCATTACCTTCTATGCTGTTACTATTTTTTTTTTTTTTTACATAAGTAAAAAGTGACCTTTCCCCATCTGGCATGGTGGTGTGCCTCGAGATTTTTTTCATGAAACAAGTGTGCCTTTGCCCAAAAAAGGTTGGGAAACACTGCCCTAGCTTGTTCATCTCTGTAAGTTTCCATCAGGCATGCAGGACATTGAGGAATTACCAGAGAGAAGATGGATCACACCCAAACTGCAAAATGATTCCCAAATCTGAACTCACTTGCTGCCCAGAACTAGCATAACAAATTGGTTTCAAACGAAGCCGTTTTTGTCACTGCACAGCTGTGTCAGAACAGGATACCATTGCACTTGATGTAAAGGAAGATCAGAATCCTTTCCAGATCATTTACACAACACCTTATGTTGTGGGCCAGCACAATTCTAATTCTAAGAACACTGTTGTGCCTTGTAGAGGTGAATTGTCCATGAAACACAATACAGTGGTACCTCGGGTTAAGTACTTAATTCGTTCCGGAGGTCCATACTTAACCTGAAACTGTTCTTAACCTGAAGCACCACTTTAGCTAATGGGGCCTCCTGCTGCTGCCGTGCTGCCAAAGCACGATTTCTGTTCTCATCCTGAAG